GCAATTGTAGAAGTGGAGACTAAGAGTGGCTCTTTGTAAAGAAATTGAACCAATTTGTTACTTTTCCAAAATAAAATGTAGATGATCTAAAAACAATGATCCCAAAAATGCAAAAGAAAGGACAAATCTGAAAAACATACTAGTAATAAAATGACTAAAAAGATCCCAGATGTTCAGTGAAAAGCTCAAAGTAAATCATAGATGAAGAGAAAATAAAATAAGTGTTTTAAGGGACTATACTAACATAAAGATAACTCCTTATTGATATAGTGTATGGTCAGTAAAAGTTAAAGCTAGTTTAAATAGATTTAGCTTTTTTCCACAAACTATAAAACATCATTTTGAAAGAGATTTCAATAGTATACAGACAGTGATTGCCTTTGAGCAATGTAGTGCAAAATATGACAGTTACTATTTGTTTTGATTACTATATCTAGTATGTAACCTATTATTATGTACTCTATTTGAAGAAACAAATAAGTAGTCTTTCATTTTCAACATTTAATGATGACAGCTTCGTATATGCATTTCTATTGCATTTGGCCATTCAAACCCCTATAAGACCTGGTAGCAGGGAAGATAAAGGGTACTTTTGACTGCTCACATGATCTAATTTAACTGGTCATCTGTACTTTTCATCTTCCCTGGTAGCAAGGATTTAGGTTTTCAAGGAAATTAGTAATTCTAATTCATATCATGTGGCCATGAATAATCTAATGAGCATCCATAATACAAAGAGTAATTGAGGGCATATAATTTGAATATGCATGGGATTACACATACTGTATCATTTTATTTTATTTACTTGTAATAGTTCTAAAACTAAAACATGAAAGGCCAGGCATGCAAACTGGCATGGTATTGTGTTACAAAACATTATTTCATTCTAGATACAATAACATGCATATTGGCATACTTCGTTTTAATATAAGATTGTTATAACTCCAAGTTTTGCAAGTCACATGACCAATTCTTAGAGAGTTGATTGGTTGAAACAGTTGATATCAGATATGACAATTTGAAATTAGAAATAAGCTGTTTGTCTGGAGATGGTACAATTTCACACTGAATTCTAGCTTAATGAGAGGGAATTGAGATGGGGCATGTATCTGAGATGAAAGCCTGTGTTTCAAATAGTAAAATTCCATGTCTATCTCAATTTTTTTGAAAATGGCAGTTAGTACAAAGTTATTCTCACGCGACGACCTATCCTTGACATTTACACAGTTCACAAGTAGGTACAGAGATTTTCAGGCCACATGGGGCAACATCTTGGTATCTATCTATGGAGGCTGATTTAATTCATGGCCACTTACTTTCACTTTTCAATTATTTTGATATCCATGGAGGCTACATGTTATATTTTGTCAGTGAGTTTCATAATTTAATTTATGGCTCTATACTCTTTGGATAGTAAATACATATATATATGCATGTAAAAATATATCAGCGAATTTCATTATCTAAAGTTTAGCATCAATGAGTAATTGGTGGCAATGCGCTTTATTTGTATATCTTGATTTCTAGTAAAGATGTGGGTAATATACAAGTATCAGCTAATTACAGATTTAAATTGGGGCCTGCAGTGATGATATTTGAAAATGTCTGGTGGCTGCATTGTTGCAAAATGTAAGCAAATTCTGACACTTTGGAATTCCATTTTGATGCTATAATTTCAGGTCTGCATTCACAATTTAATATTGTTTGCCAATTGGGGATTGTATGCCTATGGAGGCTGTGTGTAATGCTTTGCTTGAAAAGCATTTTAAAATTTGTAACATTATTTCAAATTAAGAATGGACCAAATGTTCAGGCTATACAATTCTACAATGTTTTTGGTCACAACACTTATTGAATTTAATATGGTTTCAGAATTAGTCAGGGAGAGGGGGTTCAAAGCCATTTCAGTTTGCTATCAAAAACATTTCAAATATTTAGCAATTTTGACTCAGAATGCCTTGGAATGGTTAAAAAATAAAGATTTTACCCGATGCTTTCTTCATTAAGATCATTCCAATGGATTCTATTCCATCAATAGTTATTAAAAGCCACAAGTGACAGCAGAAATTAACAAAAACCTAGATTGTTTTGAAATAATTTTTCAAATCCTCAAACCGGAAGTAAAGGGTCCTCATTTTTGATCACCCAGGAATTGGTAACAAGGACGGGGAAGTCCTACTCAGAGCTTCCTGGGAGGATTTAGCATGTACCCACAAAATAAAACAGTAAGTATTCAGAGCGGCACCTCTGCAAACTGTGCCAGGGAGTCTAGTTAATATTTATTATTTTTAAATTTCCTTCTTCACTTTCAACTAGGGATTGTCTTATCATTAACTATCTACCTTCATTTCATCTACCTTCACTAATACACAGGCAGCCCCATAAACATGTTGGCAGATGTGGCAGCCACCAGAAGCACATCATCTACCACTTTGGCAGGTATGCCTTCATTGAGCCTTAACCTGGCGCATGCTTCAATTCCTGTAGATGCATCTACATCCTTCGCTACCTCTCAACCCTTTATCCCCTCTATACTTCCCCATCTATCCCTGGCATCTACACCCTATGCCTTACCTTCCATATCCCATGGAGTGCAAGTTTCTAGGTTCCCGCATGTCAATCCTACTTTCTCTGTGCCTCAGCCTCTAACATCTCAGCTACATCACCCATTGCTATCTACACAGCCTTTGAAACTGCCTAATGCAGGCTTGGGAAGTCATGCCTTCATTCAGCGGTCAACCCCCCCCCCTCGCCTTACAGAATGGTCTTTCCTGGATGGTCAACGCTTTCATTAAAGCCGTCCCATAATGGAGAGAACCCGGTTTTTACTAAAGGAACCCCAAAAAATAAAAAAATGAGGGGTCACTTGGATGCAGTGGAATTAAAACAAAAAATCCGATGAAAAAAGTAAACACCAAAAGATCTAATTACATTACCTCTTAATAAACGAATCAACATTGTACTTAGCTCCCTCAAACATAAATTGTCTCTTGATATTGGAAGTTTGATATTTCGAAATCGCCAGCCATAGCTCTGCGTAGTTTCGTGCAGTGCATTTTCAAATCTCGCTTGCGAGAGTTAAAATGGCTGCGCCCAGGGACGAATTTTCTTGCTAAAATTTATCTATTTTCTGAACGATAAGTTAATAAACAGTAGTTAAAAAAGCATGCCAAGGGTGAGGCAGTACCTCCCGATATGGGAGGCGGAGTTTGAGTGGTTGTATAAGGACGAGGGAATGAAATGCCATCTGTGCATTCGATCTGGAAAAAGAAATATAATATTTACGAAAATCGGATGTTGCAGACTACCAGAACAGCTCTTTAACGAGACATGCTTTGTCGGAAGGGCACATTGATGCCTCCAGGACTAGTTGGGATGGTCAAGAATGAGGCTGATTATAGACATAAAGAAATTAATGTTTTTGTGGTGCATCTTACATTTACCAACAGCAAGCATGTACAAATCACTTTTTATTGTGGAGCTTTTCAGATTGAAAGAAACGTCATTGCATTCGAGCTTATACAGCAAATATTCACCAATAAATGTAATTTTAAATTTGTTAATGAGGTATAACTTGTGGTTTTTATGAAATGAATATGTCGTAAATTTTGATCTTATGCCCAATTTCCTGGGAGCGAATCGTTATTTCACAAATAATGCAATATGAACTAAATAGGTGGCACATAATGTGAAATGTGTCAAGCTCACTCCATTGATATAAAATGGTACAAGATTCGATAAAGCCATGCGTATGGTGGCACATTTGACAAAGTAATTGCAAGTTCTTATCAATGTGTAAAGAAATTATGAAACTGTTAACAGGAGTCACGCCCCTGAACTATAGAAGCAACTGTCCTTTGTGTGGCATGGCAAATGAGACCATAGTACATTTTCTATTAGAATGTCCAGAATTTCAAATAGAGATGTCATGTTCAGAAACGTACCCTGTACAGTTGCTTGTGTTTTTGACGTTGTGCATACACATTTTATAACGATGTCATAGACCAGTTTTATATTTTCATATTTTTATTTTCTTATTCTGTATATACATGTTCTAATTTTTAAAATCTCAAATAATTACACCAAAAAAATGAGTAAAAAAAGTACATCTTGCCCTCTATTGGACAAATCTTGGGTAATATGGCCGATGCAAAGTATTTCAGTACATTAGATGCCAATTCAGGGTTTTATCAAATACCTCTTCACAGTTGTTAACACAATTTTATCAAGCCTTCTCAGGAGATACACATTTGATTATCACATGTACCAGGTAAAGATTTAACTGTGGCTGAAACATTTTTGCATGTTTCATTACCAGACACAGGAGACTCAATAATTACAGACAGACGAGACATGTAAATAACGTGATTCAAACCTAACCTGGTACGGATATAGGTCTTAAACAGATAAAAATGAGCAGGATCAAGACATAACATGTCAAAAATCACTGAGTACACACTTCACCGTTGACTGGAAAAGCCAAATGCACCTGCTTGAAGGCATACTTTCCCTTTAAATCAGAATATTTTGCCCTGAAGGTGGTCTTCTTTTGAAGAGGTACCAAATTTATCCCAAGGGGTGAGAGAATCCTTTTATCATGTATGTCATAATTTAGTAATTTGCAAATCCATCTGACTTCTTTTCCCTCAAAGGTTTAACAGGATATCATTAAAAAAATGTTATGCTGCAATATGAAATTATGATATCACATTAATTCACTCACCTTGCATGAGCTTATACAGCTAGCTATATTTCATATCTCAATATGAAATGATAAAGGGGACAAAGAATGCTTGTATCACTTACCTAACAAGAAATTACATAAATATATTTCATACCTAAATATGAAATAAAATTAATATAAACCGTTACAATTACTATCTATTATAATTTAATATTACAAAATCTTCAGCAGCAGTACATTAGTATGTTATCTTTGTTTTTTCTATTCCTTGTAGAATTATTATATAAACTCTTAATGAACATTAAGGTATATTTACCTCAGGTGTGACATCACGAGGTGAAAATCCCGTGCCACCTGTTGTAAGAATGAGGTGAAGTTTCAACTCATCAGTCCATTTTTTTAATATCGCCTCTATTTGATCCTGTTCATCAGGTACAATTTCCCCGACTGCGACTACTGCATTTTTCAGGCTAAAAAGGCATGTATGTATCTTTTGAATTAGCACTATAAAAATAATACCAATATCAATATTAACTAATATTGATTCATGACATTTTGTAAAATTATCTCTATATCAATCATATAATGTAAAATAAAAAGTTACCTTGGACTGATAAACTGCCAAAGCAACAAGTACAAAATACAAGTACAAAGTTTCTAAAATTAATGATTAACATTTAAAAGTCCTCACCATAAACCATCTTCTAATTTTGACTTTAAATTAAGTCCGCTCCTGTCATCAGCCTCTTTCTTTGAACAGGTGTCACTCACTGCAATAAAAAAAAACATATTTCAGTTCACCATGAAAATACTGGATTTCCTTTGTTAAGGTGATTACTTCCACCTCACATCTACTATTATTAATGCTTTAGGTACAGCTAGTATGTTGACAATCTGGTACCTTCTGAACAGCTTACTTATATAATATTATCCAATTATCCTAAGATACATGGCACAGCATGATCAATTCACAACCATAGGGTCACACTGTGCATTAGTGTCCCCAGTTTAAGTCATTTAAAAGATCACACTGTCACAGCACTCGATGAGATTGCTAGACTACTGGGGAGATATGAGAAGTAGAAATCAAATGTTGATTGTGCATGATGGCCTGGATCACCCAATTAAAACTCAACTCCTCTCAAAATAGAGCTTAATCATTTAGGCGATCAGCCTGGGGGGTTGGTCGGTACCAAATCAGGGGAATAATGGCCATGGTGATTTTTGGGAAGGTGTACTCCCCTAGAGTAAGAAAATATGTGATAGCATTACAGAAGTGGCAGCTAAATGGGTGTTATTACCCATTTTCCAAAATGGCCGCCGGTGCGCTTGCTACCAAATTAAAGAAGTTATATCTAAGCATAATGAGAGGCAAAATCAGTGATTTTAAGGTCTAATTCTAGGTTTTAGGGGTCACTGATTAGATTTATGCCTAAATCCAAGTCATCAAAACATTTATTCATATGAAAATCCAAGATGGCCACCAATTTTGGTTCAAAAACCAATATGTAACTAATGATACAAGCTAAAAACGTTTCAAAATGATTTTGAAGAGTTTTAGAAGAGGTTTTCAAGTCTAAGGAATTTATTCATGTCTAAATCTATGTCATCAAAGGATTACCTTATATGTAAATCCAAGATGGCCGCCAAAATAGGTGCCAAAAGGAATATGTAACTACATGTATTGATACATGCTCAAAGAACAGATAAAAAGCAATTTTATAGATCATGAAAGGGTTTAGGGGTTAATGATTTCACTTATGCTTCATTTTAGTCTAAGTAATCAAATAATTACTTTTCATAGAAAACCAAAATGGCCGCCAATATGGGTGCCGAAACGAACATGTTACTATTAATATAAGCTCAAAGAAAAGCTAAAATGTAGTTTTGTATATCATGAAAGGGTTTGGGGATCAATGATTTTATTGTCTTAGTTTTCAAAGAATAACTTGATGTGGAAATCCAAGATGGCTGCCAAAATGAATAAGTTACCATTAATATAGGCTCAATGAACAGTTACAAAGTGAATTTGGAAACCATGTCTAGGTTTCAATGGTCGAAAATTTAAAGTCAATGGCTAGGTTTCAATGGTTGAGAACTTGAAATCATCAAATAATTCTTTTATTTGGATATTCAGGATGGCAACAAAAATGGCTGCCAAAATGAATAATTAACTTTGGAACATATTCATTTGGATATCAAAGATGGCCCTGATGGGATGTACCATCTCACTTGTACTCTCTTCATCAAAACGATGAACTGGCTTGTGAAAGCAGAAGAGTCCTAATATGGAGGTCTAAAAGGGAATGATGATACAAGACATCCTTCTTGTCAAGCCTTTATGGACATCATTAATGTTATGACCTAGTCATTCCCTGGAGCATAACGGATTTTAAGCTGCATGGAGAAGATGAGATGGCCAATTGGGCATGTATGTAGTGCAATCCCAGGAATATTTTCAGCTGAGTGGTATGCAAAGGAATACCCTTTGCATTCGTTCGACTTCTCTTCTGAAAAGAGAGCTTCATCACTAGTTTAACTAGACTCTGCAAGCAGGGTCACAAAGTCTACAATTAATCCAAGTCTACAATTACACAGAAGATAATATCTTGGATGGACTGAAGAGTGCCGAGTATGAAGACCTCATTGACTAAGTAAGATGTAAAGGTTCGAAGGTGAGACACTTTCTAGTGCATGTAGTAGAGGCATGTTGAGAGAACTAGGTCTGCAGCCTGTGAACTTCAAGATGGCAATAAAGGAAATAGGTTAGATGGTTGAGTCATGCTCCATGTGAATGTGGTAATGACCAATCAAATCACATGTTATTCTTAACAATGGCAATGGCCAATGAAATCAGGTATTATTCTTAACACCCAGAAACCTTCTGAGGGTGAGCTACTGATGATGGACAAACGGATCCTGGAACAAACCTCGACCACTTGTCCTTGGAAGATACCATAATCACCAGCCAACATCCTTCATTAATGCTTAAAGATATGGGTACATGATATATATATATATATATTTATTTATTTTGGCAGCCAGTTTGGTGACCATTTTGGATTTTAATATGAGGAAAGGTTAATATAACTTAGGTAAAGGCTAGTAAATTGAAACCATTTTCTCCTGAAACCCAGTCTCAGATATCTATAACGTAACTATTCTAATTTTTCTATGTGCATATGAATTCATTTTTGCAGCCATTTTGGCAGCCATTTTAGATTTCTATGTAAACGTTTTCTTTAATCACTTCAATTTACACATGAATGGAATCCTTAACCTCCAAAACCTTACCATGGTCTGCAAAAGCAAATTTTACCGTTTTTTTTAGTTTACATAAATAGTTACATATTCATTTTGACACCCATTTTGGTGGCCATTTTGGATTTCTATGTAAAGTAGTTCTTTGATCACTTAGATTCAGACACAAATAAAATCACTAGCCTCTTAAACCCTTTCATGGTGTGCAAAATCACTTTTTAACCGTTCTTTGAGCTTTTTGAGCTTATATCAATAGTGACATATTTGTTTTGACATCCATTTTGGTGGCCATCTTGGATTTCCAATTCTTTGATGACTTAGATTTTAACTTAAATGAAATCCTTGACCCCTTAAACCCCGAAATAGACCTCAAAATCACTGTTTTTGTCTCTCAGTATGCTTAGATAGAACTTCTTTTATTTGGAAGAAGGCGCACCGGCGGCCATTTTGAAAAATGGGTGATAACACCCATTTAGCTGCCACTTCTGCAATGCTATCATATAATTTCTTACTCTAGAGGTATTTACCTTGCCAAAAATCACAATGAGGCTTATTCCCCTAACTTGGTACCGATAACCTAAATTTTGGGGTGAAGCTGATGGCCTAATTAAGGTAAGGATTGTATTGGATACTTGTTGGGATTCCAAATTGACAGTCTAAGATAATGCTGACTCTTCTTAATGACAATCCTTGATTGACAAGACCTGAATTGCCATAACAGGAAGCAGAAAAATAACATGTATAAGGATTGAACAGTGCAAGTGTTTTGTGAAGAACAGTGTAGATCTTTACACTGTTCATATTTCTTGCAAATGCAGACATTTACATTTTATATTTCCACGTTAATTGGATAAGTGTTATCATTTTGGATAATCGTCTCAACATTTCTTAATTGTAACCTGAAGCACCCGGATGAAATGTCAATAAAAAACTTAGGTCAGGGTCAGGAGGTAGAAGAAGGGGAAGAAGGAAATGAAGAGTAGAGATGAACCTGAAAATTGACGATTTTGCAAAGTTTTCATGTTCAAATCATAATATAGCCCCCAGAGCGGGTGTAATATAATCGAATTGGGCAATGATGAGATATTATATGAAATATAGAATGCTATTCTTGAATGTATGACTATGATAATGATAAATTGACACCTCATAGCAGAAACACAACATATATTCCAGCATCATTTCCCATATAAATTGAGCTTGAATTTTTTTTTAAATCATTTATGAAAAATTGTGTTGAGGAATTTTAAATTAGAATTCAAACAAGTTTATTCAAAGCCAGAAAATTCCTGGTATTATCTTATATCTATTTACTGATAAGGATAAAATGCTTTTGAAAATATAATTTCAACTGGCCATAAGTGAATGATGGTTTACTTGGAATGAATAAAATGTTGGTTTGCATCTGGCTTTCAGGGCACTTATGAACATGGCGCTAACATTTTAGATGATCTGTATCCATAACTATGCCAGCAAGTGAAAAATCTGTTGATCAAGCCATATCATTGGCACACCATTATTGCCCCAGAGTGGACCATAAAAAAACAAGTACTACAAATAAGGGCACTGCCTTATAAAACTGAATCAGGTGATCTACATTGTGACAGTGAATCAAATTGCACGTTCTTTATTGGGGAAATGCTAACTGCTTATCGCAGGGGGTAAAAAAGAAAGAAGTATTCTGGATTTTGAAGCCCTGTGATCGGAGGATGATGGTTCACCCATACCCTTAATTTAGTAGCCCAACATGGGGGTGCAGTGATGTCTCATTATTTAGCAGGGTCACAAAATCTTGACATTTCTCCATAAGAGTACCACTGCAACTTCTTCCATAAGATTGTTGTGTGGGAATTCTTGTTAAAAGCCCCTTTAACTCAAACAAAATGTTGCTACAAGATGATATGCTTGATTGATATGTATAATGGTGGGAGAAGAAATAGCTTCTTCTTCAGCATTGGAACAATTCTAAGCCATGGTGAGTTTGATGTAGTAAAGGAGATTACCAGTAGTGTTCTCTTAAGCGTTGGACCATGGGACAAATCCAGTACTGTAAGTTTCGGATTGATTCTAACTTGTTTTATTTTAATAAGTTTGGTTTATGGATAACAAAATCAAAAATACACCTGCTTAATCTTATATAGGGGCGTGACTTGTTTGACATTTTGTGTTTGCTGACGGTTGCACACATATTATCAGTTATATTTATAATGCTCTTCCTTCTTTCAAATGTAACCAAGCTGAAAACATGTTGGTCTACATTTGTAATTCAAGTATTATCATTAATAAATAAATAAATAAAATATGATTTAAAAAAAGTTAAACTATGCCAAAACAAATGAGCAGACAAGCCTGTGAAGCTATAGAAGACCTACATGCGCCAACATTAAGGAAAAAACGAACAGAACTAGGGATAAAGGCTCCTCTCATGTTTAGTAAAGCTACTTTGTTGAAACTTTACAAACAAAACAAGGGCAATGGCAACGATGTTTCTAATAGGGCATCTGATGTAACTGAGGAACTAATGGCGCATCTGTATCCAATACTAATGATGAAGAGGCTGATATCACAGCATTGGGGAGTACATCGTCCCAGAGCATTACTTAAAACCAAGGGGAACTACTGTTTGAGGCTATAAATAGTCTAAAGGACATGGTTGCATCACAGAAAACGTCAAGTTCTCGTATACTGATTTCTGAGGATAACTGACAGATTAATGGAGAGGCATCACCTGATATGGGTCTTGGCTTGCATGGCGTTCTGATGGAGAACATACAAAATATAGATGTAATTTTGAACAGCCTCGGGAGATCTATCATAGAAGGTATAGAGGTTCTTGTACCTGACATTTCAAAATTTGGGAAAGTTATTTTACGTTATTTGATAAAAAGATGTGAATGATGTTGCACTAGATAAAATAACTGAAGAAATGGTTTGGAATGAAACTGTCAACTATTCTTGGGGAATTTGACGGGATCTTCTAATAAACCTTGTTAATGAATCAATAAACAGACTGAATTAAACTGAATTAAAAAATGAATTAAACTGTCGATATTGTTAGAAACTAGATGAATGAGTATACCAATATATCAAAATTTCCTACTTTTACATAGGTGTTCTGTGTGTTATAACAGCATCTACTTGAGGTTCTTGATAATAGGTCAATGGGTATTTATCCAAAAGAGAGGTGTATAAAAAAAATTGGGTATCCAAGTGTTATATGATTTCAGAGTGACTTTAAGTGCAAAAAGACATTATACTGCAGCAATACTCAATCGCATTATTTTTGCTGTAGCAGGGGATGGTGCAGAGTCTCATGATCGTGAGTTTCAAGGCTCAAATGTCAAACAAATTTAGACATTTTGCAAACTTAAACGAATGAACAGCTTTAAGACAAAGTGAGCATGCTCAAAATTCCAGCAAACAGTATCTACAGAGAAAAGTCCAAATTAAGTCAGACAGAATTGACTGCTGATAGAAGCTGTTGCGGATGAAAATGCTAGTTCTGAAATAGTCTGTCTCGCAAGAATAGAGCCTGAAAGGTCATTTTAAGTGGCAGAGTTAAAATTCAAGTGACCCACTATGGTGAAAAATCTAAAAACACTATAGATTGGTTTCTATGTGTCAATGATTGATGGAAAACTGGATCTCTGTGTTGTATGAGGCTGATAGAAACAGTTGAAAGTCAAAATTAGGTTCAATTAACCTTTAGCATGCTACCGGCGAGCGTAGTCGCCCGTGCTTAAAAATCCCCGGCAACTGCCGGCGACTCCAGTCGAATTTAAACTTTCAAAAACTTAACTTTTTCCCGCTGGTCTTATGATCCAATCAGATTGCCCGATTTATTTAGTCCTTACGTGGGGACTTCCTGTTGACCTAGAAATGGCGATGTTTCGAAAAATATTTCTCAATTCAACGATTTAAACAGTGTTTGAGTCGTTTTTAGTGAACAAATCGTACAAAATGGCTGCCAAATACGATCACAAAGAACATGTGGAGGGAATGGATTGCGATTTCGAGCTCTTTAGGCTCTTGGAAGCTGATAATGGTCATCGAAAATAGAAACTAGAATATTTTCTGAACTGAAAAATGAACATTCGATCACTGCAAATTCAGTTTTGGATTCTGACCAGACGTTGAATCTCCACAGGGGCGAAGCGGCGGATTCCAGAGGAGTATTCATGGTATATTTATGCCCAGTCCTGTTTATTTATGTAAAAAATTCATGAAAACATTTTTTTCAAGAGCCAGGCCAATGTATCTTCTCTTTGTGAAAATTTTATCCAGATTCATTCAGTAGTTATTGAGATATTAATTATTTAGTCCAGGCATATCATTTTTTGCACTCTTTGAAAAATAAGTCAGTCGCGTGGGATATATTTGCTCAATTAAGTTAGCATGCAGAAGGTTAACATAACCAGAATATATGTATGCTGAAATGGCAGCATTAGCAGAGTATGTATCGAAAAACCTTGATCAATCTGAATTAGATAAAAGTCACAAAGGGGGCCAATGGGACGGCAAAGTTAAACTAATTGAACTCAAATGAGTGAGCGTAGAAATAAAAAAACAGTGGAATCAAAAACTCATTTATTTAATCATTTATTTACAAGAAGATATTCAAAACATAAATGATCGAAACATTTTCATTAAATTTGTACTTTGCAATAATTATGCTGTGTTCAAAACTTTGGTGGGTGTATTTTAATTTTGACAGGTTCCTCCGAGGGGCTGTGATCTTTACACTAAGCCTAAATTCAGTGCAGATTGATCAGACAAAAGAAAGTTGGGCCAGAGAGAACTAATAAATCTAACACCTGAATGCCGTCATCATATATCACTATATCAAAAGTCTGACAATGCTTTCATATACGATAATAGAAAACTACTTCATGATAAAAAATGACTTGCAGGATACAGGACCATAGCAGTAGCAAATAAAAAATAAATAATAAAAACAGCATCGAAAATACCTGAAATTCCAATGGCAGGGGAAAACTTATCAAATAAAAGCATTACATTTAGGACAATGGTCAAGTCCAAGAATCTTCACAAAATTATGAAGGTTCCCATGTCAATTCTGGAAAACTGGGTCTATAAACAACAATCTACCTAGATGATCTGATTATTCTAAATCTGTCCACTCAAGAACTCAAGAAAAATGCAAACAACAATTTATATCCCATGATAATCCAATCCCAAGACAATTCAGTCAGATTGCAAACATCTATACCATTAGAACCAAGTAAAGCTGTGTGATGTCGTGATTGTTGCTAGAATAAGAAAGTGCATTATCCCCTCGCATCTCATTATAAAATATAGAAAATCACCTTACCTCAACACAAAGCTAGTGTTAAGCTGTTAGGTTCAAGGATTATTTTTTAATTTGGTATACCAGGACGTTAAATGTGCGTTAATAGGCTAATAAAAATCAATCCACAATTTTATGAATGAAGTTCATAGTACTACGATTTGTTTACATCAAATTTTTTTTATAGATGACGATGAATGTTATGATAATGACAAAGGGAAACAAATCCCTGCTAAAAACAAACGTAAAACCAGCAAAGATGATACCCAAGAGGCAAGTACAAGTGGTGCCACTGCCAGTAAAACACAAGCAAACAATGATGATATCAGGCCCAAGAAACTAAATCCAAACCGGAAAGTAATATTAGTGGGACACACTAATCAATTAACTTTGAAAATAAATACATTTAAATTATGGAAATTCAACCACCTTTGCTATACCTCTAATGACAAAACGATGTTTTGTGAGGTTTGTAGAAAATATAATCCTAACAAAACTCTAAATTGTGTCACTGGCACAACAAATCTTCAGGTCCGTGATTACACGCATAAAACACCGTCAACTGTTAGGTCAATAATGTGATGTTAATTACATAGTTTTCAGAGAAACAACGCCACGTAGCATCTTGAAAGCGTGCCAGCGAAGAGGATGAAAGTAGACGATAGGCCTTCTCAAAAGATTGGAAGGGGGCGACCCAAAAAACTTGATTCCTTTCAAATATCTGCTATAAGAGGCCTAATATTTCAAATGTTTGATAAAAATATGCATTTCAGCATTAAAACACTTAATAAGTTACGGTATAAGTGAATTTATTTCGCTATTAATATTAAATAAATAAAAACTTCACATCCAACATACTAATTATTCGAAATTTACCCTGCGTGCAGAAGACGAAGCTCTCTCAAAAAAGCAAAGAAGAACGAATGCAAAGTATATTTTAATATTATAATGATTGATTTCATTTTATTTAAGGAGATCAAGCTCAGAGGTATTGCGGCCATCGCAAACAACACTGAGGCGAGGTATATAAAGAAGATGGGGTTTGTGTATAAAGGAGGTGGTAGAGCTTATGTCAAGGAGCGGCCATATGTTGTGGAGTGTAGGCACAAGTATCTTAGAGAGGTAACTTGTCTTAGTGAATTATAGGATATCAGACAAATCTGAAAACTATCTTGATTTTAAATTAATTACAAAAACATTAACAAGATTTAAATTACAAATATAATGATATAATTGCATTGCATTTAGAAAAAGGCACATGTCTGTATGCTGCAAGATGGCCAATGATGCATCTTCCATGACATGGCCCAATTATAATGATATAGAATCTATACTTAACTTGTACGAATTATAATGTTAAAAATGATATATAAAACATGGCGCATGGTTTAACATGGTCTATTGGTTTTTTGGTCCACCCTATATATTGAAAAATATTGTATGCAATGCAAACATATTTCATTCATCTTTAAATTAATTTGCAGATCAAAAAAGCTAAAGAGAATGGGAAAAAATCATATATCTTGATGAAACATGGTGTAACGCCAACCATCAACATGCCAGGGGATGGAAAGACCATCAAGGAAATTCGTCAGCCAAGAGAATGTCAAAGGGGGGAAGATGGTTTGTGGTAGACACGAGGGGTGAAGATGGTTTTGTTAACGATGGAAATTTGGTATTCTGCTCAAACACAACCAATGACTACCATGAGGAGATGAATGGAGAAAGGTGTGATGATTTTCCTTAGGATATTAACTTTTTAAACTCGTACTACAGCTTACATACTTGATGTTTTAAGTTCCATATAGAGACTGTATAGAATTACCTGCAAACTGATGTTATTGAAAATATAATTAACTGCATAGACAATAGTTTTAGTATTAATTCATGTCAATTGTTAATGTCAATAAGCGTCGCCAAAAGTAAATGTTTTTAATAGACTGAATGTCTGTCTTTTCGTCCGGATATCTCCTTTTTACCATTATTGTTTTTCCTCAACTCATTTTTTGGTAAACAGATTTGAAAAGGGGTTGAGGGACCAACTGTTACCCAACATACCAGCAGCATCAGCCATAGTAATGGACAATGCACCGTATCATACAGTGTGTACTGATGAATCTAAAACACCTACTTCTACTTGGAAAAAAGCATATATTCAAGAATGGCTTGAAAGCAAAGGTATTGGGAAGACATGCATGAAAAACCTTAACAATGATATAAGCAACTAGGGGTCCCACGATACAGTATCTTCAATTTCGATACGAGCAACAATATTTACCTCACGATACGATACAAACGATACGAGCAATGTTTCTTGAAGAGGATGACCGAAATAATCCCAAACTTTGGACTTTCTACTACGTTCTCGAGAAATTTGAATTTCTTTCTTTTTCTCCATTTTTTACCGGAAACCGGAAATACATTCTACGCCGGATTACGCCAGGCGGATAACAAAATGGAAACAGGACAATGGGTACTTGGGTAGATACAATCGTATTTAAGCTGCTTTGGAGCATGATTTTGCTGTTTTGGGGAGTTAAAAACGATACAATTTTTGAACCGATATTCAAGGTGAGTATCGATACGCTCGTATCGTGGCGTATTGCTCGAGCGCTCAAACAAATCCGAGCAATTGCGGGACCCCTATAAGCAACTATCATATTTTTATATGTTCCTTGCATGTATAAATATGTAAAATAAATGAGATCGATCTGGCACATCCACA